GTCTGTGGTGCGTGGCTGTCACTCACTCCTGGAGGCATGAACGTGCGCTTCCCAGGGAGCTATCGGTACGGGGCCTTCTGGGCACCAGGAGTAGACGTCCAAATGGGCTTGTCACGATGTCAGACATTCAGACGCCAACTGGAGTGTACAGCTCTGTCCCCACGGAGGCATGACAGAGGGACAGCTGTGCTGCTGCCAAAGCCACCTGGCAAGAGCCCTGTGGGGGTGGAGGGGTGGGCAGCGTCCCAGGCTGCAAAGGGCCTCCTTATACCACTTTACACCCCAATGTGCCCCTTCTCGCAAGCCTGTTCTCACCGCTCTGTTTAAGACTGCAACCCCTGCCCTCTCTCAGGGGAAAGAAAGGTCTTCTACCTCCGAGAAGAGTTACCCACGGTGGTCCTCAACCTGCGGGTCGCGACCCCTTTGGGGGTCAGACGACCCTTTCACAGGGGTCACCTGATTCATAACAGTGGCAAAATGACAGTGATGAAGTAGCAATGGAAATAATTGAGTTACAGTCATGGAACCCCACGGGGCAGACCCGCCCTGGCCTGCAGGCCCCGTGAGTTGGAACTGACTCAGTGGTGGTGAGGCTTTATGCATGTTTGTTCTTTCTGCCCCTTCCCGTTCTTCGGATGCATCCAGCCTGCTCTGGAAGTGCTGACGGCAGCACAGTCCACACACTCCTGAATGGCTGGAGCACTGGTTCCCAACCTTCCTCGTGCCTGACCCTTTCACACAGCTCCTCATGTGGTGGTGACCCCCCCCCCCACCTAAAATGATTTTCACTGCTACTTCATCACTTATTTTGCTTCTGTTATGCATTGGGCAACCCCAGTGAAAGGATCGTTTCACCCCCCAAAGGACTTGCAACCCACAGGTTGAGAACCGCTGGCATGGAGGCTCTCTGCTCTTCCTCTACCTCCACCTCCCCTAAGTCCGGGGACACTTGTCTGAGTAGCGTCTCAGTCCAGGCTGGTGCCTGCACTTAGCAGGTGCTCAGTAAGTGGCCATTGGATGGACAGGGCGTTAGGCCCTGGGGACACCTGATGAAGCCAGCCACGGGCTAGCAGAGCTTCAGGGGAACTCGCTAAAAGAAGCCGGCCAGCCGTGTCCCTCCTGGTCCTGCTTTTCAGGAGACTCAGCCGGTAGGTTGGGTCACCTCCTAATGACCCACCCCCCTGCCTCCCCAGGCTCTAACTCAAAGGTCAGTTAGGGGTCACTCCTCAGCATGGGATGAGACCGGCGGTGGGGGTCCTTGGTACCTGGAAGCCCCCTGCCAGCACTGACTAGCACAGCATGTGTTGCCACCCAAGAGCCTGGCCTAGGTGGGGCTTCTGCTCCCCAGGGGGCAGCACTAGGTGCCCCAGGATGCCTTCCCCTCCTTTATCATTCTGCTGACGCTTCCTGTCATGTCCCTCAGGGGCGGGCATCCTTGTATCGGTGCTTTCTGCGTGCCCAGATGTTCTCTGGGACTCTCTGGGAACTAGGAAATAAAGTCCCCACGCACCCAGGCATGTGCAGAGCAGGGACGCACTCACAGAGGCACCTAGATAGCACAGGCACAGGGAGGCACACACACACACACACACACACACACACACACATTCACGGGCACTTGCACGCACAACCGCCAGATGTACCTCGGCTCACAAAGAAAGAAAACAGTTATCCCGTGACAGAGGGACCCAGACCCAGCAATGAGCATGGGTACCCCCAGGGACCCCGCTGAGGGAGACGAGGGGAGAGCAGACACTATGTAGGTTGTCAACAGGAGCGCAGTCTGAGAGGACCCTCCAGAGCAGCTCCCACGGTGTATCTACCTGCACACTGTCATTCCACCCTCCCCACCACCCCATTCCTGTGTCCCCACTGCCAGCCTCTCCCTCCAACTGGGTCACCTGCTCTTCCTACAGCTCACCCCACTGGTGCCCTTCCCTGTCCTCAAAACATGAAGTCACCTGTCCACAGCCAGGCCTTTGAGTTTGTTGTTTCTCTGTCTCACCGCCTCCCCACCCCCAGGGAACCCTGAAGCTGGTTCTTCTCCTCAGTTACCAGCCCTCACCACTCCCCTCCACCCCCTGAGGCTTCTGAAGGTAGCACCTCCCCCTGACTTTCTGTGGCCATTACAGTCACCTTTACCTGACAGGAGACCTAGTCCCTTAATTCACCTGACCATCGCCAGCCTCTGCCTAATGTGGCCTTGCGTGGGCCGCCTGGTGTCTTGAATCTCTAGAGAAGGTCTGGATTGCGTGTCGCTGTTGTCCCAGTGGATTCCAACTCTTCCCTAGCCCATGTGATCGTGGGGCATGGACCCACATGGTTGGCTGCCTGTCTTTACCGGGGCAGATGGCAGGGTCTTCCTCCTTCACTGCGGGGTGGGTTTGAACAGCTGACCTTCCAGTTAGCAGCTGAGCGCTGACCTGCTGCGCTCACAGGGCTCCTTCCAGAGCCCTCGAGCTGCCCGTGGGTGCCTGCAGGGCTCAGGCACTAAGGAGTCAGCTCAGTCGGGAAATGTGTAGTGTCTATGTGCACGCACGAGTGTGTGTGTGTGTGTGTGTGTGTGTGTGTGCCACACACGCCATTCCTTGCTTCTATTCACCATGCAACCCTAACCTCTTCTCCCCCACCCGCCCTTCAACATGCAAGAGCTGGTCACGGGGGCGAGGAAGGTGGGAAGGCAAGCCGTGTTCCACACGTGAATGGGAAGCCCACGCCTGTTGAGGTCTCTGGAATGCTCTTTCGCAGCAGGTCCACTAATTGCTTCCCCCCTGCTCAATGTGGAGGCAACCTATTTCTGCAGTTTGCCAAGATTGTCTGCCCACGCAGTGTTTCCCAGTGTGGCATCAGACAAGTCAGAGCATGGTCTGGAAGGAGCGGGGACCAGTGTCCCTGTCCTGGAAGACCTGGGCCTGAGAAGGGACGGAGGGGAGTTGAGGAGAGAGGGCCGCTCCTTCAGACAACTCCTCTCGGCTAGCTCAGTTCCCGACAAGATCCCGCCCCCGCTTGGTGGGATCCATCCTCTGATATCTCTAGCAAGTTTTGGGGCACCATCTCCCAGCAGCCGAAACGGAGACTCTCAAAGGCGGCTCTTAAAAGAGGAAGCCCCAAGCTCAAATTGGCTCTCATCTGCAGGAGAGAGCCACCAGCCGGACTCGGGTGCCCAGGTCCTTGGGGTGGGATTGCCCGCTAGTCCCGCTCCTTCTGGAAGGAGCAGCTCTTGACCGGGGGATGCCTTCATCCAGTCTGATGGTGCCTTCCTTTCCAGCTCATCTAAGCCCACAG